TGAAAACAATTATTGAAGCAGAACGACCTAAATCTAAAAAGCATTTAAGATCATTCTTAGGAGCTGTTAATTATTACAGGAATTATATTAAGATTTTTTCAGAGTGGACTTCCAAACTAGTTCCATTGTTAACTAAGAAACAGAAATTTGAATGGAAAAAAGAGCATTCAAAGACATTGAAGCAAATCAAGAATAAAATGACAGAAATTACTTATCTTTCATTCCCAAAATTAGGAAAGCCCTATATTATTTATACTGACGCATCAGATTATGATATAGGAGCTGTATTGACTCAAATTGATAAGGACACAGATGAAACTAAATTCATTTATTACACATCGAAGAAATTAAATGAAGTGCAACAAAGATGGAGTACGGTTGAAAAAGAATTATTTGCTATAGTAGTAGCATGCGAAATATTCGATTATTATATTAAAGGATCTAAGACCTTAATTAAAACAGATTGTAAAGGTATTATTAGAATGGATTCAATTAATACTGGAAAATTATATCGATGGAAGTTAAGACTATCTGAATTTAACTTAGAATTTGAACATATTGAAGGAGTTCAAAATAGTTTAGCTGATTGGATCACTAGATCAATATAAGATGAAACAGATCTTCCTAATTACATGGCCTTATATTGTATTAAATCTCAAGAAGTATATGAAGATTTATATGTTATATCTTCATGCGAGGACATAGCAAATAAAGCAAGAAATGATAAAGATAACATACCGAGAGACGTATGGAAGAATGATTTCTCAGTTCATTATAGAGCAGGAGAATTATATATATCAGAAAAATATAGAAGTCATTTAATGTATTGGTTTCATAGTAGTAAATTCGCAAGACATTGTGGAGTAAATAAAACACTAAAGAATATACAAAAACATTTTTAGTGGCCCAATATTAGTAAAGACATTGAAGAATACGTTGCAAATTGTTTAGTTTGTCAAGTAATGCGTAATCGAAATTTAAATCCAATAGTAATCAAGCTTTATCAAAACCGAATGTATTTGATATGGTTTCATTAGATATTATAAGACCTAAAATATGGAAAGGTACAGAATACTTTATACAAGTAGCAATAGATCATCATTCACGTTTTATGGTAACTAATATAACTAATGAAACACCTAATGGTATAGACACAATTAACATTATAAAGAAAACATGGATACCCATATTTGGATACCCTATAAGCATTTTAACATATCGCGGTTCAATTTATACTAGTCAAGAATTTCATGACTATGTTACAAAAGAAATACAGGTTAAATGGTATCATACAAGGGCATATTATCCACAAGGAAACGGTATAAATGAAAGGTCTCATAAAAGCTTAGATTATATCGTGAAGACTTTATATGAAGAAAAAGATCTACCTTTTGAGGAAATAGTACAAAATGCAGTACTAATATATAATAATACACCTCATGGAGCTATATAAGAAACACCCTATTTTGCTATGTTTGGAATAGATTGTATCTCTCCAGTGTTTGCAAAATTATTACCAGAAAAAACTTCTGAAATGAGGATTATATATTTAAACGATCGATGCAAAAACATACATGATGATGTTAATGAAATCAAAAGAAAACCTATAATTGAAAATAAAAATATTAAAGCTGAAGATATTATCTCATACGAATTATAGGAATAAGAAAGGAATCAAATGAAACACTATAGTGGAAATATATAATATAAACCATATTGGTCATTTCCTCATAGAGTAACAAAAATTGAAAGCGGAATTCTGAAAGCATTACTTATATATTAGAGAAGTAAAGAAATACAAATTCCAGTGTTAAAAATAAAATTGCTGAGTATCAAAACCAGGGAATTATATGAAAGGCAACTGCACAATTTAATACAAGTTACGTATAAGAATAAAAGGAAATTAAATCTGACGCATGATTTAAAGTCTAAGGATTACCTAGATAGTCATAAACGAAGTAGTTTCATAATGTGTGATATCAACGATAATCAGGACAAGCAAATTGAAAAAGGAGAACAAAAAGGAATTGATGTAATAAAACAATACAAAAATAACAAACTCTAAGTAATAACCATTACTTTCCCATGGTGGTGGAGTATCGTTAATAAAAGGCTTTATTAGCCTTTTTGGAAAATAAAAGGACTAGTTAAATGAAGAATACGAAGTTGATCATGCACACACACACAAAAAAAAATTGATAATTTTTTTTTTGTCTACTTTTTTTTAAAAAAAAAGTACAAAGATTCTCAGAAAAAATTTTGACAAAAAAAAAAAAAAATGCAAAGATCGTCAGGAAAAAAGATTGATTAAAAAATCAATTTTTTTTAAAACATTTATTATTAATAAATAAAAAAAAAAAGAAAAAAAAAATAAGGAATTTTTTTTTTGGGGGAAGCAAATGAAATAATTTTTTTGATGAATTTTGTAAAAGAAAATTTTATACATATAACAATAAAATTTTTATGTAATTAATATTTGTATAATTATTGATATTTGTATATAATTGTTTAGGTTTGTTAATTCAACAAAAATATATATTAATTTCATAATGTAACTCATAACAAATAAACTAGTTATTTACAATTAATTATTAATTAATGTTCAATAAGGATTTAAATTTATAATAAAAATAATGATTTTTATTAAAGTAAATAAATTCCTATTGAAATTAAAGAATGATGATGAAGTAAATTACGTAAATAAGGTTCACTCATTCAAAGCATATAAAATATATACAAATACATCAAAACCATAGAGGCAACTCTACATGCTCTTTATTAATTCGTTTGTTCATTACTCTAATAAAGTCATCGAACATCCAATAAATAAAACACGCATAAATGTATAATAAATAAAAATAAAATTGTTTCCTTTAAAATAAATAATCTTAAAAGAAGCAATAAATATATACCAATAACCAGAATTTAATTAATCCATACACAATAAAATTACAAAAAATTTAAATCAACAAACGACCAATAACTATAATCATAATAAATTTATATCCTTTTGACATAACCTTCACCATTTTCCTCACAACATGCATATTCAAAATAAATATTATAAAATTCAACAATAAAATTTTTATAATATTTATACCATGTTATAATATTCATACAGTCAACTTATCTTTTACCTTCTCTTTATTTTTCATATACTTATTCAATTATTAATAGTAATATCATCTTAATAATATAAATAAATAAAAATAACAAAAATTATAAAAAATTTTAAATAATTATTAAATTTTTAATAATTAAAATTTATAAATATAATTATAAATATTCATAAAAAAATATGTTTCATCTTTAATATTCCCTTAAAAAAAATAATCCACCTTCATAAAAATCAAATAAAATACTAATAAAAATAAAATAAATTTATTTTTCTCACGGATTTTTTCAGTAAATTATCTATTGTAATTTATCTTGTAAGAGCACAAATATATAAAAAAAAAAAAATTGAATAAAACAATTAATTTTATTTTTATTTATTTTTTTTATTTTTTTTTTTTTTATAAAGAAAAATCAATCAGTCCCTTAAATTCGACTCATATTTTCACTCATTTATTTTTTCGATATAAATATCTTTTTCCTAAAAAATTTTTGTTCGTAAACTATTGTTATTTTAATCCTCTAAAAAGATTATAAGAAATAATTGTAAAAAAAATAACCAAAAAATAATTTATGTTTCTTTTTGTTTATAATAAGAAATCCTAAAATAATAAATAATATTTCCTTAAATAATGTTAGATATATATATATGTATATTACCAAATAAAAATTAATAAAAAAATAAAAAATTTAATATAATTTTAACGAAAAAAATAAAGTGCATTACCCATTATCATTAACTAATTTTTTTTTTTTTTTTTTAATACATGTATTTCTATACAAATAAAACTATAGTGCACTTGTTAATCACTAAAAACTTAAATATTAAAATTAAGAAAATTAGAGTAGTTTGATCAGTGTTTAAAATTTAATAATTTAACAACATATAATGTAGCTGTTCATAATTGTAAATATTTCTTCTATTAAACATAATATAATTTATTTATTAAAATATATATAAATAGCTAAAATAGTATATTGTAGTTGCTGATTTTAGAATTTACATTTATATATTTTATTTATTTTATTTTTCCTTATTTTATATTTTATTAAAGTATCAATTAGATCTTTTAAAAAAATAATAAATTATTAAGTACATTATTTTATTTATATATAAATTTCATATACTAATAAAATTTTACTTCAACTGTTCAAATTTCATTTTCAAAAAAATTTTCTACAAAAATATTATATAATAATTAAATTTTTTATTCAAAATATCAGAGTTAAATAATTGTATCATTATTTCAAACTTATATTCATATTCATATAATTATATAAAAAATTTGAGAAAATACAGAAAAAATCCTTAACACGATTTTTTTTTTTCATATAAATTTCATAGTATAATATAATGCTTTACTTTAACTATTGTTTTTTTTTTTTTTTTCTTAATGTTAATCTTATAAATTAAGTTTTTGTTTTATTTATCACAATTTTTCATTTTTTTTAAAAATTAATTACATTATTATGTAAAAATTACAATAATTTAATATTTTACATAAGTAGCAAATAAAAAATTTCTTCTGCTCCGAATTCTTATTTTATATTACATAAAATGACATTTTCTCATATAAACAAATTTATGATATAGTTATTACATAAGTACGAGTGTTGCCATTTCTACATACAAATTATAACAACTTCCTGATGTGATTTAAGTATTCAGTGGTACTGCAAAATAAAAAAAATAGTAGTATTCAATTTTTTAGTCAAATTATATTATTTTTCTTTAATTGGATTATTGAATACGTTTTTAATGTATGATAAAATGTAAATGTAAAATAAATTTATATTATATATATTACCTTTTTCTCTTCCTCAAATTTTTGCTTTTATATATTATTTATATAAAAATTTATTTTTTTTAATAAATCAATTTTTAAATGTTACTGCAGAATATATTAAGAAAACCTAGTTGTGATATAATAATCATGAGAAAAAACTCTACCTCAAAAAATGCAAGATTATTATCGCAATTCGAAGGAATTCCCTGCATGTCAAACGAAAAAAATGCAACAGAATCCAGTGCTAATTTATCTAATGATACAATTCATCTCAATACAGAAATTCAAACATTTATGAATGATACTTATAATGAATTTGAATTTTATCTTCAAGATGATAAAATTACTAATTCCATGGAAAAATGTCAAAAGGTATCTACATACATAGATTGGAGAGGGATGGATTATGTTAATTTGCTATTAAGTAAAAAACAAAATTATAATATCTCATGCCTCGTTGAAGATTGGAATAATAAACAAAATTCTTTTGAAACACATATAATTAATGAAACAAGTCCAACATGTAATATTGGAAAGTTTCATTATTGTCCTCTTTTATATAAAAATAATAACTGCACTAGTCCTTATAAAAATAGTGATCTAGCAGTAAGCACAACATTAACATACGATAAACTCAATGAAAGTACATATGAGATCAATAAAACTGAAATTCAAACATTTATGAATGATACTTATAATGAATTTGAATTTTATCTTCAAGATGATAAAATTACTAATTCCATGGAAAAATGTCAAAAGGTATCTACATACATAGATTGGAGAGGGATGGATTATGTTAATTTGCTATTAAGTAAAAAACAAAATTATAATATCTCATGCCTCGTTGAAGATTGGAATAATAAACAAAATTCTTTTGAAACACATATAATTAATGAAACAAGTCCAACATGTAATATTGGAAAGTTTCATTATTGTCCTCTTTTATATAAAAATAATAACTGCACTAGTCCTTATAAAAATAGTGATCTAGCAGTAAGCACAACATTAACATACGATAAACTCAATGAAAGTACATATGAGATCAATAAAACTGAAATTATTGAGCAAAGAAGGTCTAAGTTTTACGATCTTACTTATGATATATCTAATTACTATTTCAATGCATATGATAAAGATAGATCTAAACTTAATTGTGCAAAGTGGAGTATGTATATATATAAGAGAGGGAAGCTATATGTTAATATGATGACATATGAAATTAATTCCGATGAACCTTATGTAAGAGATTCTATTAATGTATGGAATTCTTTTAGTCAAAGTTTGCAACAATTTACATTAGAAGAGACAAAAAATCGATGTAATATGACAGAATTAATTTATAAAATTAAAGAGAAAGAAAAATTAACTAAATCATATGATTTATCATGGGTTACATTAGATAACAATCGTAATGGATCTAATGAAACTTTAGATGTTATAACCTCATTACAACATAACATACAATCTACAAATGGACCTTTCAATATTTCACACGATGTTGTTACAACAAATTCAACAAATAATAATACGTTTAGTAGTATAAATAATGATAATATCACTACAAAGACACCTATAGGGACTACCATAAAACCAATAACAGCAGGAGATCAAATTACACTAGAAACTACAACCACAGCTTCAGATGTTACAGCACAAACCAATTCTTTAATCTCAGATACTAAGCCTGAATATAATTTAAATACAACTAAATCTTCACCTTCATATTCTCCTACAAGTGATAATGCATATTCTTCATCAGACAGTACTATGCCTACAGTTAGTAGTGAGCCTTCCACAGATAGTACAACCTTTATCAAAATTGATCATCAACTTTCACCTAATACAAATACCACTCAACCTAATGAAAATAGTACTATATTCCTTTCCGTAAATAAATCTGCATCTAATAAAAATAGTTATACCAGTTCTCCTACAATTATAGCTTCATCATCTGCAAATGATTCTATATCTTCAAATGATACAACTTCACATTCTGCCAAAATCGTTGAACCTTCTAAAAGTTATGCTACAATTTCTTTAACTAATATTGAATCTCCTACAGGTGTATCTTCACCATCTTCTGAAACTTCACCCTCACCTAAAATCATAAACTCTACAACTACCAATTCATCTTTTCCAGGTAGCTCTGCATTCCCCACTTCATCCACTCATAAAACTATCACATTACCTTCTAAAAATTATCATAAGTCTTCATCAAAATCTAACACTACAAATTCTCTAGTTAGTATTAAATCTTCTACAAACAATACTGGATCTTCTTTTGCATCTAACAGTTTAAATACTACAATCTCGCCGAAATCTTTAGCATCTTCAATTTTCAACACATTTCCTAATAATGTAACTAAATCTCCCACAACAATTAGTAATATATCATTATTGGGAACAAACAATCCCCAACTACAAAACTCGAAAAATACAACTGTCCCTATTATACAAGATAAGATAATTGTACCTTTAGATAGAACTTATAATAGTGCATTGAAAAATAATGTAAGTGTAAATCCTTCGAGTATGACTGTTTCAAATAATTCTACTACACAAACCTCAACGGATAACAGTAATGAAATTACACCTACAGTTAATCCTACAGGAAATGTATTAATAACAGTTGTTCCAATAGGTATATTCATTTTAGGAATTATTTTTCTTTTAATTCTTCTCTGTAGAGTAAGATCAAATTAATAATTAAAAATGAAATAACATATATGCTTAAAATACTAATAACATTAATAAAAAAATTTCCATAATTGTTTAATATTTTATTTGCCTTATAGTACACTCCTATTGGATCTTGGATTCGCAATCGTAAATCAAAAAAAAAAAAAACAAGAAAAAAGATGAAGGAAATTTCAAAGGAACCTATACTAATGTCTTTAAATGATATAGAGAGTGAACCAACATATGGTGGAAAATATTCGTTATTGCACCACGAAAAGCAAATTCCACTATGTGAGATTAGTTTTGAACGTGAAAGAAATTTGAAATATAGACAGATGAAAAAATCAAAGGAATGTAAAGAAATATACAGGGAAAGTGAAAATAAACGCGTATGTGAAGTTGTAGAGGAAGTATCAAACTACAAAAATGAATCTTCAATAGAAGAAGAAAAATTAAATAAAGATGATACTATAAATGAAAATGAAGAAGAAGAATTGAATGAAAGTAAATCTGGAAGTAAAATTAGAAAAGAAAAATTGATTAAAAGTGGATTAAAAAAAAATGTGGTTCATGTTGTAGGGTATACCAGGAAAAACACATTAAATGATGGAGAAACAAATGAAATAAATGTAAAAACTGAAAAATCTGCATACGAAAAGGAATTGAAAAATTTAGAAAATAAAATGTCAATCAAGAATGAAGTGTGCAATTGGAATACATGGGCGAATATACATATTGTAGCATTACTAGAGTATAAAAAAGAAGAATGGGAATTGTACAGAAATGAATTTTTAAAAATTTGCATAGAAGAGTTTGAAAGACGAAAAAAATACTTATCTAAAAGAAGGGGACAATAATTTAGTAAATATAAGAGAAGGAAATGTTGTAGTTATGACGCAAAAAAATAGCAGTATTTTTGAGAAATGGAAAAAAGAAGAATGGTTCATTAATTTGAAAAAAGAGTGGAAGAAAGAAGAAGAAAAACATTTAGAATATTTAGATGAACAAGATATCGAGAACGTAACAGTGGGAGGAATATGTAATCTAATGCTAGACAAAAAAAAAAAAGCATGGAGGAAGTGGATTGAAAAGCAAAGAGAATATTCAAATGAATATAAAAAGCAGGATTGGCTTAAAAAGTTATTAGAAGAATATGAAAAAGAAGTTATTCATAAAAATATAAAGGAAGGAAAAATTGAAAATATAAGTGTAAAAAAACAAGAGAAAGAAAAAGATAATGAAATAGATAAATATGAAATGAAGAAAAAATTGACACAAAAAATGTTAGTAGATATACACATGATGGTATTAGAGGAATGTGAAAAAGAAGAATTAGAAAATGAAAAAGATGAATTACTTAAAACAAACACGGAAGGGTTAGAAATGCTAGAAAATTTATGTGAAGATATAAATATTTTAGAAAAAATAGGGGAAGAAAGAAGTTGGGATTCTATTTTAAAGAAAAAAAAAGAGGATATAGAAAAATGGAAAAGAGAAAAATGGTTTATAGAGTTAATGTTAGAATGGAAAGATAACGAAGAGAAATATATAGAAGAATTAAATAAAAAAACGTTGGAAACAAAAAATGAAGAAAGAATAACAAATATTGCTTTAGAAAGGCAGAAAATTGTATGGAAAAAACATTGGGAAGATATTTATAAAAAGTGGATAGAAAATGATAACAAAGAAGAATGGTTTACAAAATTGGTTGATGAAATTGAAATTAAAGAGAATGAATATAAAAGTGAAATTACTAAAAAGAATATAGAAAAGAAAAAGGAAAATGAAGAAGATGGAGAAAATATTAATTCAAAAATAGAAATTAATAATAAAAGAAAAGAAAAGATAAAAAAATATGAAAAGACTCATCTAGATGATACAGATAAAAAGATTAATTCTATAATAAAGGAAAAAAAATTAAAATGGAAGACTATAATAGAAATACACATGATTGTATTAGAGGAATGTAAAAAAGAAGAGTGGTTAGTAAATAGAGGAAAATTTTTAGAAACCTGTTTAGAAGAATTTAAAAATGAAGATAAAGAAAAGTATCCAAAAATAATGGAAAATTATTTAGCAATGATGAGTAAAGGAGAAGAAGACATTAGTGCATTAATGATAGAGAGACAAAAACTTCTATGGAAAAAATGGGTAGAAAGAAACAAAAGAATGTCAGAGAAATGGAAAAAAGAAGAATGGTTTATTAATTTGAAAGAAGAATGGGGAAAAGAACAAGAAAAATATGATGAATTAACAAATGAATCAGAAATAGTAGAAATAGAAGCAGGAAAAAATCCTATGCTAGAGAAACAAAAAAGAATATGGAAACAATGGATAAAAAAACAAAGAATGTGGTTCATAGAAAACAGTAAAGAGGAATGGTTTAATTATTTGTTAGACGAATATGAAAAAGAAGAAGAATTTAAGAAAGGAATAACTAAAAGAGATATGAGAAAAGTAAAGGATATGAACGAAAATATAGAGAAAATGGAGCAAAAAGAAAATGAAGAAATAGAGAAATGTAGAAAGAAGGAAAAGTTGATACAAAAGGTGTTTATAGATATTCATATGACTGTATTAGAAGAATGTAAGAAAGAAGAATTTGAAAAAGAAAAAGAAGATTTTTTTAAAACAATTATGGAAGAGTTGAGAATACAAGGAAATTCAAATGAGGTTGTTTACATATCGGAAATAAAAAAAAAGAGTAGGAATATTATATTAGAAAAAGAAAAAGAGGAAATAGAAGATTGGAAAAAAAAAAAATGGTTTATAGAGTTAATGTTAGAAATGAAAAACAAAGAAAAGAGATACATAAAAGAAATATATGAAGAAGTGATAACAAAAAAGAATCAGGATAGAATTAAAAATCCCATGTTAGAAAAGCAAAAAACTATATGGAAAAAACATTGGGAAGATATCCATAAAAGGTGGTTAGAAAAAAATAATGAAGGATGTTTTACAACACTAATTTTTTAATAGAATAATAAAGACAATGAATAAAAAAGCAAAATTTATAAATAGAGTATGGAAAAGAAAATATGATGGAAAGAAACTGAAAAAATATGTAAAACATAGAAAAAAATTTAGAAGTGATCAATAAATAGAATTATTGAACTTTTTTAATATTTACTAAGTAATTAAAATTAAATATCTCTAAATGTTTAGTTATTGATTCATTATTTTATCCATTCAATGATTTTGTTTATGTATTCATTTATTAATTATCTGTTCAACAACTTTCCTAGTATTGATCAATCAAATAAAATAAAAAGCGTTTAGAGATAACTATAGTTGTTTTATTTTGATAAAATAAATTTTTACATAAATTATTTATTTTTATTAACCTATCTTAAATTTTAACTCTATCGTTTATTAAGGTTAATTTATACAATACAAATATAATGTTTAACATTATGTTTTTTAATACTTCATACATAAAAGTATAATACACATCGCATCACAGAATAAAAATTTATTATTTTTGTTTTTAAGATGATATTTTTTTTTTCTATTAAAAATTAAAAAAAAAATTATTATCATTTATTTTTTATTAAAATTTCCTAGGCCATCAGAATATAAAACCCAAAAAAAGATAAAATATTTTTTTTTTATTATTTTAAGTACGCACAAAAAAAAATTAATAAATGAAATATATTTTTTCCTTTTTTTATGTATCAATTTTTTAATTTTTTGTTGAATGGTATTATGATTTATTAATTTACTATTTAAAGACCTTTATAGTGCTTTAGCTTGTCAAATTAATAGAGAACATGTAAAATAATCTCTACTTATTCATTTTATTATAAGATTAGCTTATGTAGATAGTTATATACCTATTATAAAAGTATCAATTCATAATAAACTTAACATAATTGTTATAATATTCACACTTTTTAAGATACTTCTTAGTTATTTTTCATAAAAAACTATAAAAAATATCAAATTTATTCATCTCCCAAAAAAAAAAATAAAAAAAAAAACATTATTTTTTTTTAAAAATAAAAATAAATATATAATTTTTTTTTTTTTTGAATATGTTAACTATATCACTTATTTTATACAATTATAGTTCTACTGCATTCAAGAAGATATTTTTTAACTACAAATTAACCTGTATTTTTTTCTAAATATTCAAAAAATATTATAACTGTTTTCATATATATGTATATATCTCCCTACATGCATTTTAATTATCCTTTATGTATCTACAATATTCTAAGATGAACTGCTATGATGCTATAAATTATTAAAAAGATCAATGATGTATTTTATTAACTATATTGCTAGTTTGGACAAACAAATTTATAAAAAACATGTAGAGAACACTCTATTTATTTTATTTATGATTAAATAAAATATTACACAAATTATTTAATTTTGCTAATTAATGTCAAATGTAAATCACAATAGTTATTTATTAACTTAATTTTGCGTAACATACTAGAAAATGTAATATTTTACTTTACATTATTAATCTTCACGCATAAAAAATTATTCTTTACATCATAAACAAAAAATATTAAGGATAATTCTTGACCACAATTTTTTTTTATGTCAATGATTTATTAATTGATCATTCAATGTTATTACTAGTAACGACCAAACAAATTAATGAAAATTATGTAAAGAGAATTTTACCTATTTTACTTTTATTAAATTAAGATATAAATTAAACTATTCATTTGTATTAATAAATATCAGGCTTTAATTATGCTAGTTATTAATGTTGTTAGTTTACATAATATCCCATGTATACCACATTTTGCATTACATTTTTAATTTTTCATAAAAAAAAAAAATACTTTACATCTTTATCCTAAAAAGACAGAAAAATATTTTTTTTTGATGTGTTATACTTTTTTTCCAAGAGAAAAAAAAAATCATTATAAAAAAAAATTAAGTTTTTATAACAAAAAAAAAATAAAATGAATATTTTTTCTTTTTAATATGCCATATTATTTTTTAAAAAAAATAATAAAAAAAAAAAAAATTTAAAGCGTTTCTTAAGTCTTCTTCACAAAAAAAATATAATTTTCTTTTTTAACTGTAAGTACCTATAAAAAATATTATAAGAATATATGTATCTTTTTTTTCAGTGTACCTTTAGAGCAAGTATATTTATTTAGTTATTATGGTTGCAAATATATATTTTTTTTTTTTTTAGTATACATTATTATGTTTTCCCATTTTCCGCATATTTTATAATTGACTAAATAAAATTTTATTACTCACTATATTTTATTAAATATTATTTAAAACAGGTTGATAATATTATTTATAGTCTACTTGTTTATTAATTTGTTATTTTAATACTAGTAAAGTTATCGATCAATCGATTGGTAAATCACATTTGTTCGTATTTATTCTTAAATTGTTATCAATCATTAATATATATACCTTTCTGATTACTTTAAAATATTTGAATGTTCCTAAATTAAACACATAAAGATACCTTTAATTACTATTTGTAACTGTGCATGACCAATTTTTAATGAAAATGAAAATATATTAAATACAAATCATTCATGTTTGGTACTATAAATTCTGTATGTTGAAAACTATTTCCATCTAGTTCTATATTTCAAAGTACTTTTTTAATATCTATGTTTGAAAAACATTTAATACCGTAAAATGTCTTTAATATATCTTTCATATTAGGTAAAACATATAAATCACCCAATACATATCTATTTAAATATATATAATAAATAGTGATTACCTACCTGACACCCTATTTACTAACTAATTGGTTAATAAAAGGCTTTATTAACCTTTTTCGAAAAAAAAAGAACTAGTTAAATGAAGAATACGTAGATGGTCATGCACACAAAAAAAAAAAAAAAAAAAATGATTAATTTTTTTTGTTTGTATTTTTATAAAAAAAAATACAAAGATCGTCAGAAAAAAAAAAAAAGTTGTTAAAAAAAAAAAATATCAATTCGAAAAAGATTTGTTAATAATAAATAAAAATAAAAATAAAAAAAAAAAATTTTTTTTCTTTGGAATTAAAGATGATTTTAATGAATTTTTTAAGAGAAAGTTTTATATATATAACAATAAAATTTTCATGTAATTAATATTTATATAATTTTTGATATTTGCCAATAATTGTTTATGTTTGTTAATTTAACAGCAATATATATTAATTTCATAATGTAACTCATAACAAATAAACTAGTAATTTACAATTAATTATTAATTAATGTTCAATAAGGATTTAAATTTTTAATAAAAATAAGGATTTTTATTAAAGTAAATAAATGCCTATTGAAATTAAAGAATGCTGAATGAAGTAGATTATGTAAATAAGGATCACTCATTCAAAGCATTTTAAAATATATATAAATACATCAAAACCGTAGAGGCAACTCTAAATGCTCTTTATTAATTTGTTTGTTCAGTACTCTAATAAAGTCACCGAACATCCAGTTAATAAAACAGTACTCTAGCAAAGTCACCGAACACCCAGTTAATAAATCACATGTCTTCTTATATAACTGTGATCTATAGTAATTTTCCATTTGACATTTTTTTTACGAACGACTACCATAGATAAAATCCATTTTGTACTGTTGATCTATAAATAGCTTTGTCAACTTTTTATAATAATATTTAAATAAATAAAATCAGCAAAAGCATCTTATTTTGTGCATATTAGAACAATGGGAAAATATGTACACAAAAAAAAAAATAAGTATAAAAATAGTAAGCATATAAAAAAAAAATAATACTTGCTCAGAAAGTAAATGCAACAGAAAAAAATATAGATATATTTTATTTTACTTTTTTTTATAATAATTTTTTTATTATTTTTTTTTAAAAATAAATTAACATCTTAAAAAAAATATTTTTTTTTTTTTGATGGAGATGATGTAGGGTATTCTTTTTTGGAAGATAAATAATGCAATGTAAAAACGTGATATACATGAAATATCATGTAAATTAATAATATTTATAATTAACTAACTCAATTATTATTTTATATTAATTAATGAAAGTGAATAATATGTATTATAATTTAATTAAAAAAAAATGAAATAAGTAAAATTTTCTCTATACGTTCTTTATTATTTTGTTTTTTGCATATTACTAAAGTCATTGAACGAGCAATTAATAAATCAAGTAATGAATAGCAAAATTGATAAAGAGAATGTAGAATTTTCTCTACTAATTTAATGAATTTAAATATAATATTAATGATATAAATTAGTGAACTGTAAATTATGTAGCTTATTGAAAATTTATTTACTTTAATAGAAATCCTGTATTTTTTTTAAGGACATAAATTATCATTAATCATTAATTTGTAAGTACAAAATACTAACTTATAACTTTTCATGAACAATTTTCAGTTATTCAAGTTCATTTCTTTTTAAAAGAGCAAAAAAAAAAATTAAATTATATTAATATTACTAACAATGAAAACTTTACTATCAAAAATATAAAATTTTCTAATGAAAATTTTTCTTTCTAAAAATTTTTTTCTTCTTATCATTTTATTTTTTTTTTTTAAAGAAAATAAAATATATATCCATAAAAAATATGTAAAGCAAAATATTGATTTTTTTTTTTTTGGCTAGCGCCTGTGCATGGTTAATTGTGTATTACCTTTTCAACTATTCATTTTTATTCTCATAAAGGTTAACAAAGTTTACTGTTAACCAGTTTTCTAGTTTTTTATTTTTTTATCACTTTTTTTTATTTAATTTTTTCCTCGTTCTTTATATTGACATAAAAACCTTCATAATTAGGATGAGAATTTTTCAAAATTCTATCAATTAATTTTTTTCTTTTTTCACTTGTAATACCATATTAAGTCATTGATAGTGCTGGAATCGAAAACTCGTAAGTATTATTCCGATGAACATTCAATAGTTTATCTCTACATTTATTAGCCATTTCATTTTTTTTTATAGAAAGCAATTCACACATTGATAGAATAATGACATTATACCATATATTATACATGTTCTTTAAATAAACCAATTTATCTTCTTTATTATCTTTTTCATCATATAGATAATGTTCTGAATGTTCCTTAATGCAAGTTTGTTTTTTTTTCAACATGCCACCCTCTGCTAACATTCTTCCATCTTTTAACCTATTTTTTATTTGTAGCGTATCTTTATAAATCAAAGACCTAATGGAATCGTACTATGGGATAAAATAAAAATTATTTAAAATTTTTTTTCTATTATTAGAGTAATAAATTAAATAAAATTTTAAAAATGGTTAAAAAATAAATATATACATATGTATTTTTTTATATGAAATTTATCTTACACTGTAAAAACAATGGAATATCCAAATTAAAAGAAGAAATGTAAAAATCTTTAAACGTAAAGTAAAGGTTTTCATTTTATTACTTTTATCGTATAATATTTAAGTTAGAGTTACTAAACCATATGAAAAACTGTTTTTATCTTCGCTAATGGTAAGTTGGAAATTTCTAATATTGCTTTAGATATTATTATAACCTTTGTAAATTAAGTTTTTAAAGTAAAAAATTATTTGTTTATATGAAATGTAATTCCTATTCTTCATAAATATACATAATACTACATTTGCTTTATGTATGATTAATATTGTTAATTTTTCAAAAAAAAAAAAAATAAAATAAATAAGAATGTATGTTTCTAAGTTAAAAAAAAATGTTAAAATATGTAAAGTTATTTTAAAAATGTTTCATTAAAATTATATTCATCCTTAAAGTAAATAAAAAAAATTATGTATTATTAATTTAAAACAGATAAAAATTGTAAGTGTTATATTTTTAATATCAACCAACTTTTTCTTATATTTTTTTTTAATTAACTATTATTTTTTTTCTCTTAATCACCTTAAACTTTAAATTATCTTGTATATAGTATTTATGATTTATAGATATAAATTTATATGTATTAGAGATATTATATCTCCATCAAAAAAATAAAAAACATTTAATTAAAAATTGTTCTATGCATGTGTTTTTCATGCAATATACTATATTTGTGATCATTTTTATTTTAATATGAAACTAACTTTTTATAGTTTATATTTTTGTTTTAAACGTAACTATTTTGGTTTTTCTATTATACATTTTTTATCTTAATGTTTTTTTTTATTTTTGTAATTAATAAATGTTTATACAATATATATATGTATTTGTATTTATTTTTTGTGATTATAATTATTTTTTAAAAAAATTTTCTTTTTTATATATTTCATGCATAATAAAATAAAATAAAACTATGAAACGCACAAATTCAAAAAAAAAACTGAAAACATACCTACTTTAAAGAAATTATAATAATATATCATATAAAAAGCACTTTAAATGAGTTAATTACACTTTAAAAAAAAAAAAAAAAAAACTGTTTTTTAATTATGTATATATAGGAAAAAGCACGTTTCAAAAAATGATTGTTTATTTTTTTGAAAATTTACTTTTTTAATTAATCTAAAAACTACGAATAATATTCTTTTTTTATAAAACATAATGTAAAAATATATTTTTATGAATTTTTTTTTTTTTTTAACTAATAATAATAAATATAAATTTTAAATTTAATAATGATGTTACTTATTATATTAACTATAAAAATATAACTTTAATTAAATATAATGAATTTTTTCCTAAAAAAATACAAGGATATATCTTATTATTGGAATATAAAATGTATCAATAAATAAATATAAAACAGAATTATAATGTAACCTTTTGCATGTACATTATCATAATCTCCTAACTAAATAAGAAAAAAAAATTATTTATCTTCTTTTTTAAATTTTATATGCTTAATTTATAACTTTTTATTATCATGATAATGCATTTATTTTATTTTTTGTTTTATTTTATTTTAGTTTTATATATTTATATTACAACTTTTTTGTATTTCCTTGTATTGTTTATAAAATTTAGCTAACACAATTATTGAGTTATAAATAGTATTATCTATTTATTTTAAGTAATACTTAAATAAATAAAATTAAAAAAAAACATTTTTAATCTTTTTTATTAAAATTCAGGGAAATGTGATCACATAAACACTTTAACAAAGTACGTATACTAAAAAAAAAATTTTTCACTAAAAGTAAATATATTTAAAAAAAGTAGTTGCACTAAAAGTAATTACATTTAAAAAAAATACTTGCTTTAAAAGTATATACACTAAGAAAAAAATATGCATATGTTGTTCTATTTTTTTTTAAAAAAAAGTATGATATTTTAAAAAAAATTATTTTTTTTTGAAAAATTAAGAGTGTAATATAAAATGTGATATACATGAGATATAGTTTAAAATAACAATAATAGTAATAAATTTATGCATTTAATATTTGATATAATTAATATAAATGAATAATATGAAGAAAATAAAATGAATAGAGCTTTTTCTACATGCTTTTTATTAATTTGTTTGTTTGATACCAGCAAGGTCATTGAACGAGTAATTAATAAATCACTTATATAAAAACAAAGAGCTCAACAATTGCCCCTCTTAAATATTACTTTTTTCTTAAATATTTAAGTAATATAAAACATCTTTGTAAACATTAATGAAAGATTTTATTAAGAATTTTTATTTTTTAATTGAATTTGTGATCATCTTTGATATATTATAAATAAAAAAGTATATTAATAAATACTACCTTTTTAATATTTGAACGCTTATTTTTCTATAAAAAATATTCTTAAGTTTAATAGTAGTGTGTTTTTATGGTTTATGTATTTTCAATATAATATATAAATGTAGTTTTTGTAACTAAAAATGTGTAAAATATAAAAGTATCTTACATTTATATATATTGTTTCATGGTATTAAAATCTTTTAAATAATATATGTATTGGATATTTAACAATTAAAATTATCCAAATAATAATCCACTAAATGTATAAATTATTGCATTTATTATAAGTAAGATAATGTTTATAAAGAAAAAAATTAT